AGACTTAGAGCATGAACTGACAACAGTCTTTGTATACAATAAAAAAATTGTCAACATCTTTCTTGAAGAGGAGCTTATTGTTATATATACACAATTGTTTCAGTTTAAGTTTAATTTGAGTGTTATAATTTAGACAGTTTATTTAGCATACTTAGTTATTTTTAGAAGCAATATTTTATGGTAACTTTAATTGTTTACGTAACTGTCTACGAATCATACATTGTGTAGTTCATTTGTTATGAATTGGCAATTGTTTACAATTGTGAGATTATTGCGTCATCTTGCTAGAACTTCCCGAGTTTCTCGTTAGTTTAATTGAGCATTATTGCATTAACATATCAAGTATTGTGTGGAATGTTCTAGACTTCTGTCAGGATATAAATACGCATTCAAAAACCATTATTTAGTTCTATACTGCATGATTGTGAGTTTAGCGATAAAGAGTGTATAGTGGCGATTTTTGAAGTGAAATTATAACAGACTGTATTGTAATAACAGAACAGAGAAGAATACTTCATATTGTTAATTGTGTTCCAAACTAACAGAACCAATCTGTATGTACGTTGACAAAAAAGGACAATTATTTGAAGCATTGGATACAACTGTGGTAACCAACAGTGTAACGTACATTTCTATATGCGTTTGATTTGTTTTCAATCAATTATTTTGAAACAAGTGGACTGTGTTGCTATTTGTTTATAGTTGAAATTTATCACAAGCAAGTCACAAACACGTACTGTAAAGAATCCGACCTTACACAACCTGGCAATGATTTAACATAACGTTAAAGGACAACAAAGGACCTTCTGGTCCATCTAAGCTATCCTATCCTCTAAACTAAATTCTAAAAAAACCTCAAAGCCTGTTCTTATCAATCAAATATTTATCAAGCTTTGCTTTATAATCCCTTAAATTAACTGTATCTATCACATCCAAAGGCAACCCATTCCAGAAGCCTGTTAGGAAGATAAAGCTATCGTAGCTGAAGATGAGTTCTTCATTATCGTAATTTATATTTGTATCCCTTAGTTTTACCATTCTCATGTATATTTTTGGAGAGATAAATGTCAATAGTTTCTTGAATAGGAATATCAGTGGAAAGAGAAGTAATATCAAAGCTTGCCATGAAGTAGTTAAGGCAAGGAGGCAGAGAATGAATTTATTTAACAAAGTCAAAGGAATCATTAACAGTAAATGAAATTAGTAAGTGGAGGAATTGGAGTTGAGAAAGAATAGGTCAAAGGAGAGTAAAGCTCTTTCAGTAGGTCGTATAGAACACAACGAGAGTAAAAGCTATCACAAATAGACTCAGAAATGGAACTTGAGTGTGGTTTGAGTAAGTTATTTTTGTTGGATAGTTAGAGTAAGACAGTCAGTATTAACGAGTTTAAACTTCGTCTGATCACTGAGAAATAATACCATTGTCTCTGTCTGATCGGGTGATAACAATATTAGGTTGTTGGAACAGTCTTTCAGAGTAAAAATTTCATTAGAAAGGTGAGTAATAGTTCTAGAATTATTGAAATGATAAAAAGAGGACAGAGCAAAATTCTTAAACTTAGTTTTAAATTGAATTTTGCTGGAGTGTTGTTTTTTATGTTTGAAGAAAACTAAATAATTTCAGAGACTTGCATGTAGTTTAAAAGGTATAAATAGTCAACATATTTCAGTTTAGATAGTAGTTATGTCAAATTAACCCCTTTAGCTAGGAAAACTTTGCACGTTACATTCAACTGGATGAAACTAAAGTTGAAAATTAAGTAATTGGGGTCAAAGTCTCGGTGGCTGTTTGACTTACATAGTTTATGTTTTACATATGTTCATGTCTAGATATATTTTCTTATCGTTAAGTCCAGTAATTTAGTAGGATAAATAAATGTAATGAATCCATAAGACGATCTTGAGGGTTTCAGAAAGATGGAACTTTGTTGTTTAAGGTTCGTTTAAGACGTTGTTTTGAGCTCAAGTTCTCTATCAAATAGGAGTATCTGACAGAACAAGTAGGCCGAACTCTATTGAAGTCGGTGACTGGCAAGTTTGAACTGTATGAACTTGGGAATGACTTTTAGAAGCTTGCATTTTGTAAGAACGTTGATGTTCTAATTCATTTGTTCAATTTTTTTTATATTTTCCTCAAGAGGGAGAATCTGCTAAGGTGAAAGAAAAATCTAAAGAGGGGATAGAAAGATTTGACCACCCTTTCTCAAGAGATAACTAATATTCTAACAACTGGTTGCTCTACCCTAGAGCTAATATATATATACATATACATACACACACACACACACACACAAACTATATTTCACAACAACAACACCTTCAGCTAAACAATGCAATCAGCTCTTTTCCCATTAAATCTATTCTAACTGTTATTTCATCACGTTTTTTGTTGCATCATTGTTGTTTGTTCAATATTTTTATGTTACCATTAACAGATCTCAGTTACTGTTTTAATTGTAGTGTATGCTGATGTTGAAATTTGTAAATTCCAAAATGTTCCTTGATGTGAATAAATTTGTTGACAAAAATGTTTGCTATATTTTTGATGCTTCTTTTTTATAACCAAATTATGATTTCCGCCTATCTATTGCAAGATTTGATTTGTTTTAATAACAAGAATCACAGATGGTAAGTCTAAGTGAGGGCTCTGCAATGTTTTACTCAACACGTTCATTTGCCCATGAACCCGTGGTTGGCCCATTGGAGAAATATCGATTAAAATTCTGAATTTACTTTCTATATGACATGGAATGTTTTTAGTAAGATATACAAGTCTGTTGTAAACACACACACAAAATATGTTACAAAATTATTTGTTCTCAAAGTATGCCTGTAAATTGACAGTCATTCTAATTCAGACTTTTACAAGAATTCAAGGTGATGTTTATGTGATGTATAAGAATATATTATTTAATGGCACTTTGTAAAAAGTCATAGAATGCACACTTTGAGCCCCACCCATGTACACAGGGCTAACTAGCATTGTCCAGAATGCTCAAAGCATGCCCAACAATGTTAAATTTGTTTGTCCTGATTCTCTCACTATACCCCTTTATAGAAATCCTTCAAGTGTTTGGTAAAATACAGCATATTTTAGGAGTATCATTTACTCAAGCAATACAGTAAATTAGTTTCACTAATAGATTTCTAGTTACAATACTAAAAACGTATATGCTCTTTAATCCAAAGTGGCCAGAGTTCAAGTCTAAATTAATCAATTTTTGTTTGAAGAATTAACATTTGGCAAAAAACTACACTTCACAAATATTTACTTTTCTCTGGCATTGATACCACTCTGAATCTATGGAGCAGACTTCCAGTCAGATGACAGATCATAATACAATGTCACATAATCTGATATTATGGAGTAGGAAAATTGCCATATACATACCATTACTTTGTTATTATATGGTGCAATTTACCTTCTACCACCTTCTCTAATCTTTCCACAAAGAAACAAGATACAACAAAGTGATTTACCATTCGGTTATGTTTCAAATTTTCTGGATATTTAAGACCATTTCACAATTACATGGAAACATTAATATTGTTGCGTCAGCGAGGTCACGTGACTAGTATCACGCCACCTCTTTCTAGAAATATCCTGTTCCTTCAAGAATGCCCTAGCATTTACTAGATATGTGTTAGTCTTGGATATATAAGATGTTCACAACGTGACAGGACAACAGGTAATGAGTAATTGAATGTATGCGGATAAAATATTGTTGGACGTGAGTTATAGCGTTTGTTATAGAGCGACTGTTGAAAGAATGAACCA